GGCCAGTACTATATACACCAGCATGTTTTATGACACAATCTGAAGACTTCATCATGCACTTTGTTTTACCTATTAAAAAGACAAACAAAATTATTTAGAAAAAAAGGGAATGACAATGTAGTAACAGCCAAAAATAGGGAATTCAAGCAAACAATTTCTTAAATACACGTAGCGTAAAGAACATGCCAAAAACCTATAAACACCAACCACTATACAACACATCCCTTTGCTTCTCTAGGGAAAGTTTTTTTTCTTATTAAGCATTTAAGACCATATATTTTTCACCACACACTTGCGACTAACCAAGGGCGGGGACTTTTATCTTACACCATGTTTTTTAGCAAGCTGAGCATATGGTCAACAGATCATAAAATGATATCCAAAAACTGACTTTATTCATATTTATTATCATACTTAAACAGCTAGACTGCAAAGCGTAGCAAATCAAGTGAGAAAGTGCTACATTTAGCATTGACCATGAAACATTAATTCTGCCCCTTCATTAAGTGACCATCCTGAGTAACAAATAAGATAGGGGTCCTGTAGAAAAAAATAATACATGACCATGTATGCAAGACAGTACTCTAATGCGTATCTACAAGAGGGTAATTAGTGTTTCACAGACAACCAGTAATCTGGCATTTAACACCTTTGCAATCTAAATAACACATGTTTTTTGGTATGTAATAACATAGTATTCCATTGAAAAAGAATAAAACTAAAGGCTTGGATCAAACTTCCAATTGCTACTAGGTGAGTCAAAGGTGTGATGTTTTTCCCCTCTAGCCCAGAGGCATATAACTATTCTGACAGCAGACCTAGTATGTTTGCAGTTATAGTATGACAACAGACCTAGTGTGTTTGCACAAATGTCCTTCTGTTAGCACAGACTCTTCTGTTGGAGAAACTAGTTTAAGCTCTGCTGCCCAGAAAATTGTACTGCTAGTGTATGCTTTGTGTCCATATAGCAAGACTGCCAGTATAGCTCTGCTTGGTCTATTGGCCTTTAAAGTGTGTATACGGCCAAATTCTATCATGACCCCAACGTCAGCCAAGAGCAACCTCCTCCAAGTACCAGGAATGTGCTAAATTCACTTGGCAAAACAGTGGTAGGTTATTCTCAGCAGTTGCCCTTCAGCTCTGGGTCACTACTACTTTGAGGCCTGTCAGAACCCAAGGCTGGACATTTTCCAAAAATGCTATGAGACCTTCCCATTTGAGCAGGCATTTAGGAGACACGGTTAAATTGGGATTTTTTTTTTTTTTTAGGGAGTGACTCTATAGGTTATTTTAACATTCTGTCAGCTTTTATAAGTTATTTTGTTCTCTCCTATGAACTATCCTGAGGCCCCTTTTGGTAGCATGGTGCAAAAATCAAAAATCAAATCAGTCAAATTCTATCCCTATTATGTATCATCATCAGAGTCCTACAGTACTTGACTTCCAGATATTAGCTGCCAGTAGGAAGTACCACTGGTTGCTAGGTGCTTGGTACAGAAAGGTGGCTGATCTCTCTCCAGCCTAGTCCTCTCTCTCCTTTTAGAAGTCCAGAGAAGTTTCTGCCCTAGGTGATGCTGCTAAGGAACTGGAGCAGTTTTCACAGGGTAGACCACTTCCTCCACCAATGCTGCAATTGCTGCTGTGATTGCCACCACAATTCATTGTGTTTAGGGGCCATGTTGTCACAGTCTCAGCCCAGCTTCTAGGAATGTCTGCACTTGGCTATTGTTTTGGCAGGCTACCAGCATTTCCCAGTGCAACACAAGTGATGGAGAAGTAATGGTCATTTGCAACAATTTGTGTGTCAGCCAAACCTGAAAGGAATGTCACGGGACAAATGGAAGGTATGGTTTTAATCCTAGGGCTTTGGTTCTGCCAAATTTCAGAGGCCTGCTGCAAAGGAAGCAGGTGCTAATATTAAAAAAGATCAATAGACTGTTTTATAAGCAACCTAATCTTAGGGGTGGCTACCTTCTCCCAAATGGTGACAATTGAGTACCAGACCATTCTGATAAGTCTTTATGCTGGAAAATCCTGGAAGCTGATGGCTTTTTGTAGACTATTATTAGAAACACTTTTTCTCCATAAACATTTTACAGATCAAGATAAATTCAACCAGCTGCAGTCAATTTACAACACATAATATACCAGAAGAATAAAAAATGCATTTTCTCTGCTTTAGCGTATGACACAACGGAGGTTTGCAAATTCTGATATATGATGGAATGTCATTATGCACTAATGGCCTAATTTTCAGAAGTGTTCAGCATCTGCAGCTCTAAAGAAGTCATTGAATATCAAACCAGAAATATTCAAGCCACTTTATGACAGACAGAAAAATATGTGAAACCTTGTTAAAACAGGAAGCAACATTAATTTGCAAGTATAACCCATCAGCTCATATTTTAAGCAAGCAGCAATTTAAACAAGATTTTGTGTATGATCCAAGGCCCAATGATGGCAATGGAAGTCTCTCCAGGGACTTTGAACAAATTTGGATCAGACCTTCTGTGTACCTATATGTTGTTCAGAGCAAGTCAGACCGTATCAACACACAAGGTAAATAATATACTACTGATTTAATGTATAATAAGAAATGATCAGCAACCATAAAGTTGTCATAAAAAGATGCAATTCTTCCCAGTTTAAAAAGCAGCTTTTTGGCAGTTGGTTGCTTTAGTAACTTTGGGCTCGGAGCCAAATCCCAGTGCCATTTATTCTGTCATAACAAACACCAAAAAAATGCATTTTCTATGGGGTAACTATCAAAGACAAACCAAAGATCCAATACCAAAAAACTGGGTGAGGCCAATGGGGTGAAGCGATATGCACTAAAGTTAGCAATATCAAGCCCCAAAGGATGCATCTCAGCTGGTACAATAGATTGGCTCTTAGTAAAATTGCTTTACAAGAACCATAGATAAAATAAAAGGGAATTAACAGCACAAGAGAGTCAGGATAAGCAGTGCATTTCCTTTTGCTATTTAAACTCACCACATTGTGCACAAATAGGCAACTTCTGGACAGAGCTACAGAAGTAGCAAAAGGCTCTGTTCTTCTGTCGTCTTGTCACATGGGGAAAAAATGAAATAGTATTACACAATCTCAAAGTGTAACTAAGGCCAAAATGCTGGTTATAAAACAAAAAGCAAGTTTACTTACCTTTGACATTTATCACACTCCTGCAAAATGAAAAGAATAGATTGTTATTTTTCCCCACACACAAAACATACATAATGTATAGCTTTTTTAACTGAGTCTGAATTAATTGATCCTGATTTGGTAACATACTCTTCAATTGACATTCTTATTTAAATACAATTATTAAACAAATAATAACATAAAGCGATGGTGCCCAAACTTCTGGCCCCATGGCTAGATGACTGGCACCAGGTCAGTCCATGGGCCAAATCCTACGCTGACCTAATCCAGCCTCATACCATGTACCACCCCAATCTGACTTACCACCACCCCAATCCAGCAGCCCCAGGGGATAGATGATATGGTTCAAGGGGCTGGATCTAGCCCACTGGCTACAGACTGAGCATACCTGGTATAAAAGCACTGACTTTCTAGTTTAATTTAGTCAACATAAATTTTATCAATGGTTTACAAAAATGTAAAACTTGATATCAGAGACTATTCTAATTACTTTACCATTGAGGCATTACAAGGATGTTTAGCTAAATCGATGTTGCCTTTGGAAGCTCTTATCTGCTTTTCACGCTCTCGACGATTCTCAGCTTTCTTGCGTGCACCAGTCTTTTTTTTAGGCATTTTTCACGTTCTCTACGAAACAAATATTTAGATAGATGGGTGGAGAGATGTACACGTGCATAACATGTGCATACACATTTCATGGGATCAGAGAAAGTAGGGCTGGAAGGGACCTCACAAGGTCATCTAGTCCAGCCCCTGCTCAAGGCAGGATCATCCCTGACTAAACCACCCCAGTCAAGTGTCTGTCTAACCTGTTTTTCAAAGTTTCCAGCAATGGAAATTCTCTAGGTAGCCTGTTTCAATACCTGACCAGTTATAGTCAGAAAGTTCCTCCTAATCTCAGCCTAAAATTCCCCTTCTGCAGCTTGAGTTTATTGTTCCTAGTCCTATCCCACAGATCCACAGAGAGAAGAGCCCATCTCCATCCTCTCTATACTCAGCCTCCAGGTATTTGAAGACTATCCCCCTCAGGCTTTTCCTCCAGGCTAATTAACCCTAGTTCTTTCAGCTTTTCCTCAAAAGTCTTGCCTTTGAGGCCCCTAATTATTTCTGTGTCAAACTCTTTCCAAACTGTCCACATCCTTCTTGAATTGTGGGGCCCAAAACTAAACCTGGTACTCCAGGTGAGGCCTCACCGGTGCTGAAGGGAGTGGAACAATCACTTCCCTTGATTTACAAGTGACACTCCTGTTAATATAACCCAGAATGATGTTGACTTTTTTTCAGCATGAACACACTTGCTTATATTCAACTCTCATCGTCATAACCCCCCATGTCCTTCTCTGCAGTACTTCAATCTAGCCAGTCATTCCCCAGTCTGTATTTGTACATGCAATCATTCTATCCCAAGTATAGGACCTTGTACTTCTTGTTGAATCTCATCTCATTCATCATGGACCACTTCTCTAGTCTATCCAGGTCATTGTGGATCCTAGCCCTGCCCTCTGGACTGTCTGCAATTCCACCCAACTCAGTGTCGTCTGCAATCCAAGTCATTAAATGAAGATGTTGAATAATACTGGACCCAGGACAGACCCCTGGACATCTCCACTTGAGGAGTCCCAAGTAGATATTGAGCCGTTGAGGACTACTTGCTGAGTACAAGGATCCAACCAGTTACCTTATAGTATTTTTATCTAACCTGTATTTCCTTAGCTTGTTAATGAGAGTGTTGTAGAAGACAGTGTCAAAAGCCTTGCTAAAGTTGAGATATATCACGTCTTCTGCTCTCCCTCATCCATAAAGCCTATCACTTTATCCTAGAATGAAATCAGATTGGTTGGGCATGATTTGCTCCTGGTGAATCCATGCTGACTGTTCCTGATCATCTTGTTCAATTCTAGGGGCTTCACAATAGAGTCCTTGAAGACCTGCTTCACGATCTTTCCAGGTATACAGGTTTGGCTGACTGGTCTGTAGTTCCCGGGATCCTCTTTCTTCCAGGCCCTATAAAGGGCACAGAAGCAAGCCATCCCAGTGAGATAGAAGAATGAGAAGTGAAACAGATGGCCAGCCTGGCTAGGCATCAATCTCTCAAGTGAACTGAATCTCAAAAAAGGAATGCTATAAAAAAAGTAGAAATTTGATCATAGTACTAGGGAACAGCATGCAGGATGAAAATTAGGAAAGACAAGGCACAATTTGATAAGCAACTGGCAAGGGACAAAAAAAAAGGCAATAACAGGGATTCTACATGTATGTTAAAAGTAAGAGGAAGACCAAAGAAACAATAGGTGTTTTACTGAATGCAGAAAGCAATCTAGTTACAGATGACACAGAGAAGGCTGAAGTAATTAATGCTTTTTTTTTTTGAATCACAGAAAATTAGGGTTGGAAAGGACCTCGGGAGGTCATCTAGTCCAACCCCCTGCTCAAAGCAGAACCATCCTCAACTAGATCATTTCAGACAGGGATTTGTCAAGCTGGGCCTTTAAAAGCCTCCAAGGATGGAGATTCTACCACCTCTGTGGATAACTTGTTCCAGTGCTTCACCACCCTCCTTGTGAGGGAGGATTTTTCCCAATATCCATCCTAAACTTCCCTTGCTGCAACTTGAGACCGTTGCTCTTTGTTCTGTCATCTCCCACCAGTGAGAAGTTTAGCTCCATCCTCTTTGGAACCACCCTTCAGGTAGGTAAAGTCTCCTATCAAATCCCTCCTCAGTCTTCTCTTTTGCAGACTAAATAAACCCAGTTCCCTCAGCCTCTCCTCATAAATCATGTCCCCCAGCCCCCTCACCATTTGCACTGCCCTCCGCTGGACATCCTTTCTGTAGTGGGGGGGCCAGCACTGGACACAGTGTTCCAGATGTGGCCTCACCAGCACTGAATAGAGGGAAATAATCAGTTCCCTTGATCTGCTGGCAACGCTCGTACTAATGCAGCCCAGTATGCTGGTAGCCTTCCTGACAACAAGGGCACACTGTTGACTCATACCCAGCTTATTATCCACTGTAACCTCATCCTTTTCTGCTGAGCTGCTACTTAACCATCTGATTTCAAACCTGTACTGGTGCATAGGGTTCTTCCATCCTAAGTGCAGGACTTTGCATTTGTCCTTGTTGGACCTCATGAGATTTTTGCCCAATCTTCCAATTTGTCCAGGTCACTCTGAATCCTAGCCCTACCATCCAACGTATCTACTACTCTCTCCTCCCCTCCAGCTTGGTGTCATCTGTGAACTTCCTGAGAGTGCACCCCATGCCATCTTCCAGATAGTTAACGAGGACACAGAACAATATTTTACTTCAGTCCTCGCAAATAAGGGCAGCTACCAGATGTTGAGTGCAGTTTGCAGCAAAGATGGGGAAGGAGACAGTCTAAAACAGTAGAAGAACAAGTTAGAGATTACTTAAAGAAGCTAGCTGCTTTCAAGTCAGCAGGGCTGGACCCAAGGGTACTGAAGGAATTAGCTGGGGTAATTTCAGAGCCACTGTCTCTCTCTTTGAGAACCCATGGCCATCTTTAAGAATAGGAAGAAGGAGGATCCAGGGAACCATAGACCAGTCAGCCTGACCTCTATACCTGGAAGATCATGGAGCAGGTTTTCAAGGAATCAGTTGTAAAGCACGTAGAGGAGAACAGGGTGATCAGGAACAGTCAGCATGGATTCACTGAGAGCAAATCATGCCTGAACAACCTGATTTCTGTCTTTGATAAGATGACAGGCTCTGTGGATGGGAGAAGAGCAGTGAATGTGATATACCTTGACTTTAGCAAAGCTGTTGCCTATCACACTTTCATTAACAAGCTAAAGCAGGGGCTGGCAACCTTTTTGCACAGTGTCAAAACACCTGCAACCTCAACTTGTGGCTCCCCTGCAGACCACCCCCAGCATTACAAGGGGCCCAATCCTTGTTGTGGCAGTGCTGCCCCAGCCCCTTCCCCGCTGACCACCCCGAGGCATGTGTGGACCTCCCTCCATCAACGAGCTGGGCCAGGACTCTGGACCCCAGCACAACCACTTGCAGCCTCCTGACAGCCTACCCACAGCTGGCCCCTGTCACCCACCGTGGAGCCTGGGCTGCTTGCAGCAGGCAGCCTGCAAGCAGCCATACCGGGAACCACAGAGCCCTGGCCCAGCTCATTGCTGGGGGCAGGCGTATGCGCGTCTCAAGGCAGACAGCAGGGAAGGGGCTAGGACTGCACTGCCACAACAAAGGCTGGCCCCCTTGCACTATCTGCCCCAAGGCACAGGTGCCAAGCAAAATACCTTCGTGTGCCACACCCTGACACACGTGCCAGAGGTTGCCTCCCCCTGAACTAAGGAAATACAGACTAGATTAGCACACTGCAAGGTGGATACATAACTGGTTGTACCAATCATACTCAATGAGTAGATCTCAGTGGCTCAATGTCTAGTTGGAAGGAGGTATCAAGCCGGGCTCCCCAGGGGACCACAGTCAATTGGGGTGGGGGGAGTTGCAGAGACTTGGAGGACAGGCCTAGAATCCCAAATGACTTGGACAGAATGGAAAAATGGTCTGCAAATAATCAAATGAAATTCAACAAGGACAAATGTTGCACTTGGGATAGAATGACTGCATGCACACAGAGGCAACCCGAGCAGGGTGCAAATCAGCCCTTGCGGGCCCTCACTCAGATCCTGGACCCAAAGAAGCTACCATCACCACTGGCAACTGTGCCAGGAGAAGGGAGGGTAGCAAGCAGCTGACATGAAGCCACTGCTCTGCCCGGCTCCACACCACCACTGCTCCACCTGGCTCCACGAGGCCCCCCAAAGCACGGGGCCCAGGGCAGTTGCCCCAATTCGTGCCCCCTAGGGATGGCCCTACATGCACAAATAATGACTAGTTAGGTGCAGTACTGCCAAAAAAACCCCTATGGATTACCATAGACAATAAGCTGATATGAGCCAACAGTGTGCTCTGCTCTTGTTGCTAAATAGCCTAAGAGCATTCTAGCCAGTATTAACAGGAGTATCTTTTGCAAATCAAAGGATTCTTCTGCTCTGTTCAGCGCTGGTGAAGCCTCATGTTGTTTTCTGTTCACTGAGTTAAGAAAGGTTTGAACATGCATGGAGATTTAACCATTGGAGTCATAGGGCACAGGCCTAAGTGCAACGGATTCAAGCTGCAGTAGAGGGAATTAAGGTTGGAGATGAGGAGGAACTTTCTGATTTTAAGGGTGGAACAAGCATTGGGACCGGCTCCCTTGAGAAGCTGTGGAATCTCCATTCCTGGGAATCGGCAAAAGTAGGTTGAATAGATACTTGGCTGGGATGGTTTAGGCAGGGATGATATGGCCTTGAGCAGGGGCCTGGACTAGATGACCTCATGAGATCCCCTCTACCCCTACTTTCCTGTAACCCTCTTCTACTCCAAACAACAGTTATTAAACTGTTAGGATGTCTGGATACCTTAAGTCTATTTTGGCCTGGAAAAGTCCCAAGTCCTACTCTGAATGGTCAGGAATAACCCAGAGCAGCCATTTAGGCACCTACCTCCACCTAAACGCAGTGGGTTTATTTTTCATAACAAAATAACTTTTTTTTTTTTTTTTGCTCCCTACAGGTAAACCACCTTTACTCTTTACATGGTTTTTTTTT